GTAACAACCCTAGAATGTTTCATTACTTATCAGTCACCATACTACGTAAATAAGAAGTTCTGGAAAGAACTAATCAGTCGCCTGCTTTCCTTTTATACTACACGGACCTCATAGAAGATGAAAAAAAAAATNNNGGGGGGGGGGGTGGCACACAGCAAGATACTCTAGTAAGCCTAAAAAATTAGGGATAAGAGACGGATAGCAAGGCGATCCCCAAAGGCCTCTTCTATGTTTTTTTTTTCAAAATAAGGAAAGCAGTCTAAAAAACGTGTTCATACGTATATTAAAATATTTCTCCTGTGAGTAGTTTTGTCCACGAAAAGAAAACTAAATTCATGTGTTAGTGCTGTTGAATCTCCGGTAATGTGTAGCCATGATAAGCATGCCTGTTGCTGTAACGTAGTTCAGGACTGTAATTATAAGCCAATAAAATCGTTCGGATTTTCCTCCTAGGCTCATAAACGGTGGGGAAAATCGGAGCTGGTTGAGTCTGGTGAAGAGTGACGTCGGAGGAAACGGTGACTATAGTTACAAAAGCAACCACACTGCTGGTATAAAACCTTTGGGCTTCACTTCTGCTTGACGTTTTCCATTTGAGACAAATGTTCGGATGACATCCTAAAATAAGCTACTAGCTCTTGCTCCTACAGCGTTTCTGATTTACTGTTGATTCTCCCCATAACTTATGAAGTAGCACTTGCAGGTGCAGTTTACAGAATGTGTCTAAACAGACGGAACCTGGGGTTTTACTTCTTGATTTGAAAATGTTTCAGCCGTCAAAAGTCAATGCTTAAAAGTATGTTCTTGCATTCATTTTCTCTCAGAATATTTCCTTGGCGTATGCGAGGATGAATGCGTTGGTCAAATTTAACAGTAGCAAACCGTTGCTGGTAGTTTTCCAACGTGTTCTGGCTAATTCAGGAAGGGAATATGACATGTACGTGTTCTGAAAAGCTTTTCGGTCTTAAGGTGACTGGTGAGGTTATTGTACGAATGTTGCAATTCCAAAACTGTAATTACACTCTCATCTTTCTCTTTCCTCATAACGCTGTTTCCAACATTCTCCTAGAATGTGTGCGCTTAAGTTACTTTTATATGCAGTTTCGTGTCGTAATTTCTCCAGCTTTTGCCTCAGAATTACAGGAATTCAGTACTTGACAGTTTATTGTGTTTGTACTTCCTAGAATTGGAAGTCTTTATTATGCTCGTGTTGTAGAATAGAAACGCGGTCGTTTGACACGGCGTAATGTGTAGGCGAACCAGGGATTATTTTTATTGGATCACGACTCAGAAATTTGAAGTAATGTCTTCCAGTACAGTGAATTATTAAATGTTGTGTGTTGTGTNTGCAATTGGGTTTTAGCCCGGTGGCAGTAGTACACAATAGGACACAACAGACAAATAACACACATTACACTAAGTGACAACACTTTCAAACATAACACAATACACAAAACACAACAATAAGGACATCCTACCACAGTGAATACAAACCAAATACGATTAACAACTACAACAATTACAGAGAAATACAAACAACTGCAACAAATACAACAACAACAAGGACATCCTACCACAATGAATACAAACCAAATACGATATCTATGGATATACAGTCCTTTTGTTGGACCTTGGCCTCTTTTTCGGTTTCTTAGTCCTATACACAGTCGGTAGCACTCCTTGGACGGGGGATCAGGCCGCTACCTATGCACACAACAACAACACAGAATAAACGCACACAGATATCCATGCCTTGAGTGGGATTTGAACCCACGATCCTAGTGTTGGCAGTTCATGCTATAGGTAGGCCGCACACCGGCATGATTCAAGACATGTAACAGTGAAGACACGATGTCTGCGACATGACGCAAAGAAAGGAGCACAGTTGAAACGAATGAGATTATGAAAACCGCAGCACACCGGTCTGAGTCATGATGCTGACGTCATGGCTCAGACCGGTCCTTTCTTCGCGTCATGTCGCAGACATCGTGTCTTGACGTATGCCGGTGTGCGGCCTACCTTAGTCCGCACGGGCACTGCGATCGGTTTCTGCCTTCCTATACATAGCACAGTTAATGCTTCTGATAACGATGGTCTGATGAGGAAGGCGTGCGTCTTAACTATACTGGCCTACCTGTTTCTGGATTTCAAATGCTAGTTGATTTGTGCATCTTACATCCTGAGCTGGAAGCTCATGCCAGCTCTTCAGTACAAGCACTTGGGGTGTACTTCTGGGATATTTAAATAAAATAGTGAGATTTTCGAAATATGTAGGAACCATTTTCATGAAGTTCTACAAATTTCTGGAGTTTGTTTATATATAATAGCACAATAAAACGCAGCCTGCACCGACGCTGCATCCCAAGTGTGGTGCGAGTCAAATACCCAAGGGTTACACCTGCTAGACTCGTTAATAGGAAGGATGTTAGGATCAGTGAGTCCACCACAGCCGGTGAGGAATTGATAGAAAATAAGGATGCATGGACTCCGAGAGGAAGTGGAAGTAACACCGTGACTCTGCTATAGAACGATGTCGTGATCATCATTGCCTGAAGGTATTGAAAGAGACGACGTTAAATATCAGGCCGCTTTGATGCAGGTTTCATAGAGCGCGAGTTAAGCACATGAACACTGACGTAACTGACTACCCTGTCCCATTTGACGGGTTAGCTATTCCATTCTCGAAATCGGTATACATGATAGTGCCCCCGTGTTTAATATCTTAAATAGATAACGGCCGCTTCCTCGTCCCATTTTCTCTTATTCTCTTTATCTCTCCGTCGAGGTTTTCTTCCTACTTTCACGCTTGAAATAAATGTGTCCAACTCTTTAATGTTTGTGGTCTCTGTGTCTAAGAGTCCTTGAAATGCTCACAGTCTCCGCCCTGTCTGTATTCGTTTACATTCCGTATTCTTTTATTATACAGATCCATCGGATCAACACGTCGACTTCAAATATTAAAATTTTCATGTCTTTTTCCCGCCCTACCCTGTAACTATGTCACTGATATAATCAGTCATTGCATTATACGAGATAGGCAGGAGGCCAGCGCATTGTCTTACTCCACTTGTCTTGAACCATCCTGATCATCCGAATATTGTTTTTAGGCAGCTTGTTACAGTACGTGTATGAAAGTTTCACTTTTTATGTAGTAATATTGTCACGTGTGTTAGTGACTAATAACGCGGATTCTTGATTGGATAAATGGGTTTACTTACTCTGATACCACCAGTAATTACACATAGCGCTATCCTACTTACACACGTTCCAGTCCACCGTTGCACACGCATTAGGATTATTAGTCTCTGCCAGTCGTCTCCTAGCAACGGATCTCAACACAGAAATTAGCATTTCAGGTCACTATGAAGTCGTCTTACTGTTTCGTCTTCAATCACTCTGGAACCTCGGAACCAAAAATTCTCTTGGACTCACTCCTCCAGCTTACGACTGACTCGTAACTGCTCTGAACGAATTCTGTCACTCACATATATAGCTGCGGAACGGACGTGGACCTACAGTAAAAACATATGACATGATCCCTATACAGCCAGTTTATTGGTGCGTCGGTCAGATCTGCAGAAAACACAGCTTCCTCTATTGTTGCGCATTGGACCGTGTTTAACAGAGCTGTTGCCTGGCAACGCATTGCTCAAATCGTTACAGTATTCTGGAACTTCTAGGCTCTTTAAACTTGACGAGTTCTTTACCCTTATGCTGTCACATGCATTTATAAACATGTATAAATACCATTAACGCGGCCCTGCCACGTTGCTAGTGTTTCGCAATTATGGCCTCATTGTAAAGGTGAAATCTGTCATGAATTTCGCAACGAAATGCTCGTTTCTCCTGACAGTTACGTATATTTTTGATATTAGCTAAAATCATTACATAGTCTTTAAAGCAGTGACTGCAAAGTGCTCGTAGTATCTCTGAAGAGTTTCACCTGTTGCTATTCGTCTGGTATTTCATTTGAGTGCCAGATTTTTCTCTTGATTTTTTACATTCATTTCATTCCTGTTGGTCCTGTTATTGCTTTTATTACCAACTGATGTTAAGAGCCGGGATAGCGTAGTCGGTATAGCCACTGGCTACGGGCTAGACGAGCGAGGGGTTGGGGTTCGAGTCCCGGAAGTTTCAAGAATTTTCTCGATTTCGCCCAGGCCGGCTCTGGGGTCCGCCCAACCTCCTATCCAATGGGTACCGGGGGCTCTTTCCCGAAGAATAAAGCGGCCGGGGCGTGACGCTGACCACTCACCTCGAACTAGTGCCAAGGTGAAGAAAATGTGGATCTATAAATCCATTCCCCCATGCGCCTTCATGGCATAGTGCACGATTAGTTAAGCACAGGGACACCTTTACATTTATTACCAAAATAACGGTCTTCTGGGATGTGACGTCATATAGTTTGGATGACGATAATTACGTCGGCTTTGCCATAGCCGAATTTGCAGTGAGAAATGCACTTCGACACTGCGTAGGGGACCTGCAGTGTGCGTCACTGTAAGCGCTCCCTACGAGCGATTATTTCCAGATGCTGTCTGCACGACATTAACTTCTTTGCTCTGTAGCTGATCAAGTCCAGGGCCAGAAACGGAACTCTAAATCTAAAGACCTAGGGTGTGATAGTGTGCTGCCTGGTCAACGCTGTCTCACACTTGGGTGGTGGAGAGGGGGAGGTATAGGTAATATAGAGCGGTGGTAGAATGAAGATTAGCAAGGGAATCCGAAGAAACTAAGAGAATACGTGCTCCAGTACCACTTCATCCACCACGGATCTTACGTGAAGTTGTCACCCGAGATTCGACGCTGAGAAGGTAGCGCTTAGTGTCCTTAGCTATGATAGTGCCTCTCCCGAGCCATATGTAATTTGGTGTCCTGAGACATTCATTTAGGACTTCTATTATGTACATGCCCAGTACTATCATCTCTAATCTTCATTTTATAAAAGCCATACTGTGGACATCCTGATCGATTATCCTTGAGTTGTTTATCTGTTGCAGTGTTCTCGAAAGGACAGTGTGAGACTGGAATATACCGCTTCCTGGCGAAGAATGGTGGTTATGTATGGGTTCTGACCCAGGCAACGCTTATCTACGGCAGCAAGACTGGCCAGAAGCCACACAGCGTTGTCTGTGTCAATTTTGTTGTCAGGTAGGCTTAATTTTTTTCCTGTGCTTCTGTATTTGTATTTCACTGTAATGATATAATCACCTGTTCCCTAAAGGGACATAAATTGTGCTTTACACAGCCTACCGATAAGGGCACGCGGTAGCGCAGTTGGTTGAGGAACTATGCTACAAGCCGGAAGGTCGCGGGATCGAATCCCGATGAGGTCATTGTTTTTTTTTCAGTGTACCTAATCCTTCCAGCCGCACTGTAGGCCCTGGGGTCGACTCAGCCTCTAACAGAAATAAGTACCACGAATATTCTTGGGGGTAAAGGGCGGCCGGCGCGTAAGGCTGACAACCTTATCCCCATCTATGAGCCGATTGTCTAGAAAATGTGGAAACCTCAACATTCACGACCCTGTGGGCTTCCACGGCCTGGTACACGGATGCCTTTACGTTTTTTTTAACTTCCTACCAATCAAGACCTTCTCAGTTGTTTCATCGCGTTTACAGGAATAAAATAAGGCTGTTACTTTTCCCAAGAACCGACAACTTGTTAGGTTAATGTATTTCAGGATGCTTCATATAAACGGGCACTATATGTTACTTTGTAGGAGAAAAACAGTTCTCCGGAGATAAAGACGGACAACACTTGAAACCCATAATCCAGCTTCATCTGTGCCGAGATTACGAATTCGTGATGCCTTACTCCCGAACGTTTTTACACCGTAATGTCACGGCACTGTGAAGAGGGTAAAAGTACCTTTAAATTTGTAAGACACCAAGTCTAATGCGGGGCTCTCTAACACTGTGACACCGCAACCCCATAAAATAATATGTAAATTTATGCGACCCTCCATCGCTGTCGTCAGCTAAAAAGTGCAGCTCTGTACATTGTTCAGGTTCCTATCAGGCTCTGCGGTGACGCCCAGCGACCTGAATAGTTTACATCCTCTTTACACGTGTAGTAGTTGCTATAAAGTGTTCCTGTACGATTACGAAAAAATATCGTGAAATGTTTTGCCGGCTGCAGTTGCATTTTCCGAAAGCACGTATATAAAATCTTACGACTAACAAACAGCCTTGTCAGAATTGTGAGTAGGTACAGATATATTTTATAAATAATTCTTGAGAACTTGACAACCCCCCTTGGAACGAATGGGACCTCAAGGAGCTTACAAACCACCGTTTAAAAAAACATGATCTGACGGATTATCATAAAATTTGAATAAGATTTTAAACATGGATCGTGATGTTACACATGATCAGCAAACATAAAATAGAATTTGTGTGTCGCGTGCAAGTTTCGCAGTGCGTTCCGACTTACTTTGTGCTAGAGATGTGATGTAGCGTATTCTTCCCTCCCTTCGGCGCTACAGATCAGGTTGAGCTTTAGCCTCCTGAACAATCTGCCTCCATTCTCTCTCCATCCATCCGAGGCTAATTATGTGGTTTCTGAATAATTTAGTTTTTCGGTGTGAGGTTGTTAGCCTCACGCCGAACCCCCAGCCTGGAAGAGCAGGGTATCCCTCTTCGTCTGGCTCCTACCTCTTGATCTGTCCGGCATGGCTGACCCTACCAGTAGCTACGCTACCGCCGGCATAGCTATCAGAGTATCAGGAGCACTCAAACCACACCACCACAATAAGGTGGAGACATCATCGGTGGGGGACGTAGCATATACCTATGCTTATATTCTGTACACAGAAACACACACAAACGTGTTTAACACTATGATAGCTCTGAAACTACGCAATTTGGGGTTATAGCAACGAAGTGTCTTATGTTAGTATGTTGCGTGAACGTGCGTTATGTAGTAGGCCACAGTCTTTTGTTTTAATGTACCGTGTCTATTCTGTGAGTATTGACAATGTGTTGGCGTGGATATGTGAAGTTTAGTTAGTTTTTATCCTGGAATGCGAATTGGTTGTGAAGATTTATTTCCTCTTCAAAACATGCATGTGGAAATTGTCCTTGGAGACCTGTCCAATAAAACAGTGCAAAGTTCTCTAATGTGAAACCAACAGGACAACCTAAGTGGATACTTTGCAGGTCTTTGTGGTTAATGCGAAGATAGTATAATCTATACGACTCCATGAATTCACATCATCATGAATAGAGTAAGACATTTTGGGGTAAATTCTCTCTGAATATGCCTCCTGTTAATTTCAAGCGATTGAGAAACAAAATAATATAATAATTTGTGGTCTATGTTTATGTCTGGTATCATTAGTCAGCTTGATATAGGACTCTGCTCGGAAATATAACCAGTTTCCGAAACGTTTTTAAAATCTCAGACAATTATCACAGTCATAATTTTGCTCAGTGTGTTACCCATCCTCAAGAAGCTTTAGCTTAGGTCATATCTCCTCCGGCGCCTTTTATGTATGTGAAGACAACAACAGTCTTTCGAAGTAAGGTTGGAGTGACTACTGATCCCGTGATTATGAAACGGGGTGAAGATAATTCGGTATCGTGAACTACTGGGCCATTGCTCTTAGAACCGAGAGGCACTTGCCAAGACACGAGAAGGCTTGGTACGGGAACAGCTGCAAGCAGCAGATAGTTATTTTTATGTTATCGACTTTTATTGCATGTGGTATGGCCGAAAGCCCAAACCCACAGATCCCATGGTGGGTAAACAACTTTGAACCAACACTACAAGAACATTAGACTGGACTGCATCATTCTTCTTCTGATAAGGTGTTTAATGATATTTGGCTAATATTCCAAAAGCGTTCCGAGTGAAATAGGGCAGTAAATTCAAACTAATGATTACCTAAAATTGATTCAGAACGGCCCAGTGAGGTTACATTGATGAACCTTTGGGGTGGTTGTACCAGGAAGTGTTCTAACCAGCGAGATGTGTTTTGGAGCTCCTGTGAAAGATAGGTGCCACTTGTAGATAATTTACGCACCATAGTGGATTATGGGGACTTTACTTGGAATTTTTTTTCTCCAGAAATGAAGCGGCTGGAGCTTGAGGATTACAACTCACCTGCATCTAATGCCGTCGTTAATGTTTGGAAATATACCCCCTTTCCTGTATACGTTTTATGACGTCACAGAGTAAAAGAGAACGCCTTTTGTGGAAGCCATGTCTTCCCGTGTATTAAGACTTCGGTTTCCCCTGCCAATCTTCATTCCACCAATTGCTCCACAATCACCCTCACGTATCATCTTGGGCTGGTACAATAGGCCAGAAGTGGTCGCAGTACAAGGGACTTAGTCCCACCCCACTAGCACTAAAAAAATAATACACCAGTTAATCTTTATTGGCTTTTCTGATAGAAGTCGTTGTTACTGTAGCTACATTAAATTATATCTGGTGTTCTCTTTTCTCTCTAGTTTAATGAAGGTTGTCATGGGTTTATGCACATAACAGCATTTCAGAACTGTGATGCGGCGTTCAATTTGAAACGTTCTCGACAGCCGGGGTTCATTTGGCTGTAGAAGCATCGCTGTTTCTCTTTACCGTAACATTCAGACCGGTCAGACCTACGGTGTGACCCACCCAGTCTCCCGCTCAGTGGATGTCAGGGGCTCTATGGACGAGCCTCAAGCGGTCTGCAACGTCGATGTTAAGAACGCACGAAGCTTCACCCTCGCGTTTGCCATGGCCAGTGGTTCTGAAACTCTGTTAGTCCGAGGCTGCCTTGATGGAAATGGATGTAGTTGAGGCACCACCGAATCACTGAAAGAGACGAAATGTAATGTAGCAGTGTTAATAATTAATTATAAACCTTAATTATATCAGTATCATACGTTCTCTTTTACATCGTTTGTTGGTTTAANCTTGGAGGGGTGGTTTGATAAATTATAATTGACATAGTGCTTTATGTATTCACGAATGGCATCATATAGGCCTGCTATTTCATTATCAGCGTTCTTCGTCTTGGTAAACGCAGACAGAAATATGCACGCTTCTCGCTTTGAAAGGAAATCTCTCTGTTTCAAATACAAATTAGAAGTGTAAGCTGGTTTTTGGCACAGTACAGTGGTTGGAATGTCTTTATGAAAGTGGAATACGGTACTTGTCAGATGTATTGGCTATCCGTTCAGTAATAGCGATGCTCCCTATTTCATTTCCTTCCCCTCGAGTTCCAAGAAATAGTTTGTTGAAAATAGGTGCAGAGTTAAGTGCGTCAGATCCTCGTGTTTCGTGTTGCCGTTAGGTATTGCATCAGGTTATTTGTGACGTAAGAAGCCGTTAGTGGTACGAGAGAAATAAGAAGCAGTAGCAGTTACGTTTGAAAGTAAAAACGCGCTATCCTTCTTTTAGGGCTTTGTAACCATATGTTTTATTGTAATGGCAAAAAAATTGACTGCAGTTCATATACGGTCCTACGTCTCCCAAACACCATGATCGCAAATTCGAATGCAAGTCAACGGTGTGAATGTTTTGTACGCGTTTGTGTCGGCCTTCGATTGCAGTCCTTTTGAAAGGGCAATTCTCACCTACGTATTTCGATCGCATGTTCTGATAAGGCTTTTAAAAGCCTAAGCAAGAAGACAAAAAGGGGTTGTAATCAAGTTGTACGACCAGGTGAGGGGGAGATGTCTGGAACGGGTGCAATTTCATGACCTCCAATTTGAAAGTTGCGTAATTTCAACATCGAAAACGCATGTCACACGCGTTGTCCAAGGCAAATAACATGTCTAAAATTCGAAATTATTTTTTTACAACGACCACTGAACTCAAAAAGCACATTTACGTTTTTTTCGTCGTCAAGAATATCAGCCCCTCATACAGGCGCTCTAGAAGTGTATTATTTGCTAGGGCGTCCGATTCGCGTGCTTACAGTCCGATCGTAACATCCATCACAGAAGACAGCTTTCAGGATGCTGTTCATAATACCGTATTTACGCATGTATAGGCCGCAGCACAATTTTCAGACAGAAATTATAGAAAAAATAATTTTCTTGGAATATTATTTCAGGAGTAGAACACCCTGTATTACTAATTATGAATATATATTTTTTTAATGAAGTGTGATTTCGAATATTTCGAATATAAGCCGCACCCCAGTTTTCCTCTTGAAT